TATATCACTATGATCCATAAGCAAAATTCAGGAATATAAATTTGTACATGAATGGTGTGTGTGACTCTCTTATTTTCCTTTTATCTATGTTTCATTTGAAGGAAGCGATGAATATATACAATCAAGGAATACTTACGAAACAATCCAAGTCAAAATGTATACACTTATGCCATTTAATTTACAAGATAATGACAAGTAATTCTTTTTAACAACATAATTAATAACCTATAAAAATGGTACTTGACCTATTATTACAATCAAACTATATCCATCATCAAGTAAGAGAATTATACAATATAACTTAAATTCTACCACTTGTTATTAAATGACATATTAGGAGTCGTTTGGTTTGAATACAGCTTATGTTGGGATGAATTATGCTATGATTAGTTATCCTGATATTGTTTTTTATCCACTGTTTGGTATGTTGTATTAAAAATGACAATTGCATAATTTCTAAGAAGAAGGTATAAGTTATCCCGGCACTAATTACCCCATCCCCTACAAGGTATAAGTTATCCCGATACTAATTTTAATCCCCAGATAACTTATATCAGGTTTGCTAACCAAACAAAGTATTAAGGTGGTATTAAATTTTTATACCAGCACTATATCTACTTATACCTCATACCAAACGACTCCTTAGTGTAATTTACATTCTCTCTTTTAGCATGTTAACTCAAATCAAATGGAAAATTGTTTATATAATGGATTTTAGAACAGAATATATGGACTCAAAGTCGAGTCTACTTGGAAGAATTCATCAGCCGACACAGGACCATAGCTATATGGGGTACTATATAGTCCACTTGCACTTCAAATCAATATTCCACACAGATATTTTTCGCCTTGAATCCTTTTAGCTTTAATGGTCATTTATTCATATTCATGCTTATTTGAGGTTTAAAATGACGACCAAATTATATATATATTCACTGCCTTGATCAAGTATGAATTTTTACAATCCACCGCCTTGATCCACTTGGCTATATTCGTCTCCCCGCCTACTTGCATTCCATTTTTATCGTAGGCTACAAGTTGGAACTGAATAAAAATTGATGGAACATTATCATTACATTCCGTGAAGATTATATGTTCTATGCCAAGCATCATTATATAGTGAGTTAATCGAGCAATTTGGAGTAATTATCAATATGCCCTAGCAATAAAGATGATCGAACAAATACAAAAGATTCGTGATTTTTGCCTAATGAAATCTACAGCAATATGGCAGCAAATTAAATCTCTCTTTGTGAACGCGTGAAACAAAATTTAGGTATGTTATAGTTTAGTGTTAGAGTCACTCCTAGGAACAAATTTTTTGTGTATAGCCTATGTTTTTAGGTAGTATAGTAAGATGAGTATAGAGATAAATAGCCTGTGTTAGCTATGCTATAATTTTGTAATTGCTACTTGGTGATTAATAAAATAATTTAATTAGTTACCAAAAAAGATAAAAAAATTTAGGCACTTCGCAAGCTTTAATTAAAATATTATTGATCCCTGGGTCACTGAATACACTTTATTCAATCTTAAATTTTGAAAGTTGAGTTGCTTTCCCAGACTTTAGTTTGAATATTAGATTTACTTCCAGAGGAATATGATACAAACGTAGATATTATTATTGCAATCCCTCATATCATACCGAGATGATTAGCACCACACAATATATAACCCGTACAAAACTAAATAATGGCTAATTAAGTAAACCGCCATACATCTTAATTTGTGTATGATGTAACAACTCAGCCTATTAGTGATATTGTCTGATTTGGGCCTAGTCCTGCACAGCTTTAATACGCGCCATTAAAGTCTAAAGTATGTCTGTTTATATATCTAACATCTCTCCAGTATTTTATTGAATAGAGATTCGAGTTATGATATCAAAGATTCATGGAGTCTAATCAAGAATCAAAACCATACAAGTGTAGAACTTTCTACTGCAAATAGATGTTATGCAGATTTGAAAGAAGGAACTTTGCGTAAATAATGCAAATGCGATCAGAGGATCATGTCTGGTAGTAAAAGAATATCATCAATCTTCACAATGAATGAAGCACACATCCTTTTGTTTTCTACATATTCATAATTATGAAATCTTGTACTGGTCTAGCTAGAAAACAATAGGACTCAGGATTCATAGGGTCCAATAATCCATTTCTGTTAAGTGGTAGGTCACACGTGTTAACCACTTCTGGTAATTGTAAAACATAACACCATCATTGTACGGACGAAACAAGTGGTGGGTGCTTTTAGGAAATTGAAATGTTGTTTCTAGACAAAGTATGAAAAGTATTATGAGAGACTTTTTTTTGTCTCACAAATTTGTGGACCTCAATCTTACACTTTTGGGTCCACAGTAATCTGGGTCTACAAAATTGTGAGACAAAAAAATTGACTCATACAACTAGTGTCAGTTATATAAGACACAAAATAAAATTTTCCGCTAACTTATGCATACAAAATATTGTACGCAAAAGATCATATCTCTTCTGTCTGCATACACAGAAAAGATAAGAGCATAGTACGTTCAGAAAGGCTAACTCTAGCCAGTAAAACAAAAGAGTAGATAGTGCATCTGCATCCTCGTGAAATCTTTTGTACGGTCAATTAATAATGGAAAATGACACTGTATAGTGTAAAAATAATAGCAAAAAAAAAAAATGACACTATATATATATATATATATATATATATATTGCATGTTATTGTCACGATCCCTATCATTCGGACCGTGATGGCGTCTAACGTCGCACTCGCTCGGCAAGCCAACGTTAGAGTTCTATTTGTCCTTTTCCTTTACATTTTATAATTTACAATTAACAAAACTAAATCAAACTGAAATAAATGCAGAAGTACATAATTAGCTGATTATCCTTATGCTATTAACAAAATCGAAACAGTTACCACCCAAAAACTGGTATCACAATCCACGAACATACTACGAATTACTACAAATTCTGGTCTGAAAGAAATACATCTGTTTCGAAGGAAGATAAAACAGGAATGTAGAACATAGGAGGAGACGCCAGGGCCTGCGGTTATATACAAAAATTATACAAGTTTTATACATTTTTTTGACTATCAGATATAAATAATTTCGAACGCAGGCTAAAAATGACAATACTCCATTAATAATCTAGGCCCCATTTCATTTCTGTGGTATTTGTTTTTGGTAAAGCACTTTTTTTTGTTTCATTTGACGATGTGTTAGTGGGCATTTGGACATAAGAATTATAAAATTCTGAAAAAGTGAAAAAAAAATCAAGTGAAAATGATATTTGAAAGTTAGAGTTGTGTTTGGACATAAATACAATTTTGGGCTGTTTTTGAATTTTTGTGAGTGATTTGATGTGAATTTTGAAAACATCCATTTGGAGTTTTTTAAAATTTTCGAAAAAAATTTGAAATTCATCTTCAAGTGAAAATTGAAGATTCATGGTCAAACTCTGATTTTGAAAAAAGTGAAATATTTTTGAAAAAAAGCGAAAAAGTTTGTATGGCCAAACGGCCCCTTAGCTTGACAGTAATAAAATTTTAAAAAGTCAAAATGATTGTTGAGTCTCATTGTCTAAAACAATTTTTTTTTTTTACTATACTAAGATATCTTTTGAATCTTATTATTTTAAATATGTCATGTGAAGTATTATTAGAATTCAAGAGTTACAAAATATAGAAAGCATTATTTTTTGAAACAAACTAAATTTGGCGATAACACTCTGGTAATGAGATTTTTTTGGTCAAATGGCAATATGACATGCTTAATCATAAAGGGACTAACATAAAAATATTAGGTGCATCTAATTACTATAATAGAATTATTAGGCAATCCCAATAAACCAACCATGTGACTAAATCTAATAGGATGAGGTTAGTTATATGCCATATGTGGAAGAAAAAGGACTAGTAAAATCTTAATTAGGTTTAGACTATGATGTGGATTATGTGACTTTTAGTACTCCCTTTAGTATTATATCCATTTAGTTTTGAGCAAAAACTAATGAAAGGAAAGAGCTTTAATAGAAAGCTTTATGACATTTCCTTTATATTTAAGCAGAAATTCAAAAATGGGTGCAATGAAAGAAAATCATCTATGTACGTTAGGATTAAATTGTAGTCATGTCAATACATTTATTTCAGATTCAATTTCTAGGAGTCTTTGTCTATACATAGAGAGAGATAGAAGTACTAGTACCTTATATTTCAACTGCATCTTATATAATACCGGAATTTTATTAAGATGAACTTAGATGAAGTAATATCATCTGTGATAATTCATATAATCGACACCAACTTGCTTAAGATCAAAGTATAATACGGTAACTGTTATTATTGTTTTTCCTTTCAGTGAAGCAAAAGATGGGACTCACTCATAAAACTACTTCTGTGGGATATAACTGAAAAATACTAATTCTTCATGCTCATGCATATTTGCATATGCTTCATAAGGTAAGGAGCCTATAATTTTGCTTACGGGTTTGGTAGAACCTAGTATTTTTGGTTCAGACCCAGTATTCGTACAATAAAGAACCACTTACTATGTATAAATATTTATCCAGAACTCAATAAATTACGTTTATTAGAATTCAAAACTTATAAACTCAAAATCTTATCTCGTTGGAAGACAAAAATCTTAGCTACTTAATCGAGTATTCTTAGTTGTGTTCAGATTGAGGCGGAGCTAGAATTTGAATTCCTTATGAGCTCGGGATTATAATCCTCTTAAGTTACTGAGTTCCAAATTAATAATTTGTATATATTTATTGTAAGTTTTAATACAATACAGAATTTGAACAAAAATTACTAGGTTCGGACTAACCTACCACCAACACTGTGGCTCCGCCCGTGGCTGTATTCCTCTTGTGGCTCCTAGGAAGACAAATCACTAAATTCTTGCAATAACTTTCTGGACCCCACACTCCTGCCCCTCACTCCTCTAATCCTGGAGCCTATATAAGAACCAGTCCTTTGCCACTTCTATTGCACAACAAACTCAGCTCTTTACTAGTAGTCTCTTTTTGCATAAAAAACAGGCGTCGAGTTCAATAATGTCTAGTTCTCAAGCCCAAGGATCATGGACTACAAAGCAAAACAAGGCATTTGAGAAGGCATTGGCTGTGTATGACAAAGACACTCCTGACCGTTGGTCCAACGTTGCCAAAGCCGTTGGAGGAGGCAAAACTGCTGCAGAAGTGAAACGACATTATGAAATACTTGTCCATGATATCATGTTTATTGAGAATGGTGGTGTCCCTTTCCCTAACTACACTGGAGGTGGCACTACTAATAATTAGCGTCAACTAAGGTATGCCATTAATTAATGAAATTTTTTACACAAATAGCCGATCATAATCACTATTTACTTTTTTTTAACCACATACATAGATTATCTATACAATTATTTTTAATTAATTGTCTATACAATGATAAAATCAAGATTGATTATTTCATGCCGTGATATTGAGAGTTACTCGTTATTTATACTAACGAGAGGCAGTAAGATTTACTCGATAAATAGTCGAGCGACATGAAAATTGGAAGTTCACTTTATCCGGACGCCAACATTACAAGAAAACAATAATTTTATTGTTCGTTAATTGCATATAACGACTTTCTTTCTTTATTTGAGCTTAGAAATGACTATGCCTGCCAAACTGACATAGACAAATTAAGTTCAATACTTCAAACCATGCATTAGATGAGGGAAAAAAAGATTTAAATTGTTACATCAACCGAAAGTTTTTTGTTTTTTTGTCGAGTTTCAAGCAAGAAAGCAAGGGAAAATATTGTCCATCTCCTTCTACGAAGCAATCGTGGGAGGGTGACGGTGTTACATTCTAGGAAACACTATTACTATTATATTACACAAATTTTAAATTAATTAAGGAAAATCTGCACAGTGTAGCCGATCCCAAAATAATAGAAGGAGAATGTAAATTGCATATTCATATCTAATATACATATAATATACGTATTTTATACATAACTAGTATATATTTTTTTATATATATTTGGATAATGAGTATAATTATTTTTGATCTACCAGACAAATGTGTTATAAGCCCTAATTGATAGAGTACTCCTAAGGAAACAAAGTGTTTTCTTTCTTGACACGGGGCACTTCCTATATTCTTCCTAGAGTCATTCGTGTATCTCTTTGTATATATGATTCAAATATTCTCTATATACACTAAGTACATATTTTTTTTAGTCCAAACTAATTATCGAAATAGCAATTTAATGTTTCTCGTTGGATATATGATGCAGGATGCAAAATCTATGGCTCCAGCAAGTAATGAGACAAAGAGATGCAGCCTTATCTACGATTACACAGCATTTGCTTGCAAGAAAATAACCATAGCTAGTACCAGCTACAGGAAAAAAAATCCAGAGCATTTTCTATTTAAAAATCTAAGTGTATATTAATTTCGTTTATTCAAGTTAATAAGTAGTAGTATTTCTGCTGCTGTTATGAATTTCATGCATGTATTATCTGAAGGAAGCATTTGAATTCCTTCCACACTATTTTGTAATATCCATTTTCTCATTCAAAATATGACAAAAGTGTATTTATTAATGTGTGTTGTAGTCTTTCTTTGGATTATCTGTTCTTTCGAATTGTTTTGTCTCGTGTATAAAAATTTGAACAATCAACCAAAAAAAATATCAAAACTTTTGCATTAAGGGATCCACAATTTGTACACACACACATATATAAGCCATTTGTTGGATCCCAAAACAATGTTAAACTTTCTGAATTCTCCTATTTACCAGCACCGCGTAATGGCGATGCCAGGAAATTTAATATGGGTGTTTAAATTTTGAACACCCTTCACCAGTGAGCTATGCAAGGGTATTCAAAGTCTATTTTTAATCAATAACAAGTACTAATATTTTACCTTATACGTAATATACTTTTTTGACAAAGGGTGACCAGTTGACCACCCTTGGATCAACATGCATTTGTCCTTGAGCGCGCGTGAAGTATCATATACCTCAATATACTGTAATATTCACATCAGAATATATGTTTTATGAATTAACTGTATAAAATCATTTTACTCAATAGTATTTGCGTGACTCTAACAAATGTATAAACCTACCAACAAATCTCGATGGGGATTGTAAGTGACCTAATCTGTAAATAATTTTATATTACCAATATAAATTACTTGTTGTACTCTTCTTAATAAAACGTGTAAAATGAGTTCACAATTTTATATTAAGTATTTGTTTTTCTTTATTCATGAAAAACAGACATTTAAAATAGCTTTGTAGGTCGACAAAATATAACACAAAAAATCGGTAAATAAATACTCCATAGAACATCTTTATAGTACTTAGTAGATATGGACAGATAGCTAATTAACCTGTCCAACTAATACCTTTGAAACCATAAGTCAGGAGACTCGTTCCAGGACTGACGCTGAAAAATGTGAAATGATTATTTTATTTTATTTTAATTTAAATTTTGGTTTCTGAGTGAATATTTCATTGACTAGGGAATGAAAACTCAAGAAAAAATATGCATACATTATCTCCGGTTTCGGCTCGTAAAGGATTTAACGGAAAAGGGTCAAATATAACCCTATACTATAAAAAATGTTTAAATATATTCCTCGTTATAATTTGGGTCCAAATATAGACCTGCCGTAATAGTATTAGGTCAAATATATCCCTCTTCCGTTAAATTTGTCAAGGTGAACATCTAATCCTATGTGACACTAATATTTGATAAGGTGGATGCCACGAGGTATGCCAACTCAGCGTCCCTACCCATTTAGTAGTGGAAAAAAATAGAAGGGAGAAGTAAAATGAGTTAGGGGCACTAAGGTGGCATTCTACGTGATATTCGCCTCATCAAATGGCAGTGCCACGTAGGATTGGATATCCACCTTGGACAAACTTAACGGAAGAAGGGTATATTTGAACCAATAATCTTACGGCAAGGGTATATTTGGACCCAAAATATAACGAGGGGTATATTTAAATCATTTCTCATAGTATAAGGATATATTTGGCCCTTTTCCGAAGATTTAAATATTAAACAAACATATCTTTTTAATATTTTGTGTAAACAAGTAATATTGTAATCTGTATATAGACAAATTTGCTCATAATTATATTTTTTCTTTTCTTTTCTTTTTGTTAGTAAACCGCATTATTTTGTTTGATTTTTATGATTAGATCACGCATTTAGTCCTTTAAATCATATTCCTACTTAACTAGTGATGAAGGAAGCAATAATGAACTTCATAGAAATTCCAAACGGAAAAGGGTCATATTTATCCCTGTACTCTTTAAAAATGGTTATATTTGTCCTTCGTTATATATTTTTGATATATTTATCCTTACCATTATACTTTAGGATCATATTTGTCCCTGTACTCTTCAAAAAGGGTTACATTTGTCCTTCGTCATACTTTTTGACATATTTATCCTTACACTTATACTTTAGGATCATATTTGGCCCTCATCATTAAATCCCCATGTCCCACCTTTCTTTTCCTACATGGTGCCTATGTGGATTTCTTTTTCCTCCAATTTAAATATGGTCAACTATTTAAGATAATTTAATTTAACCATAAACCATAAACCATAATTTGGTTGTCTGCACTTATTTGTGTCTTTGGGCAGCCAATATATAAAATATAGTGGCTTCATTCTGATAATTCACATTACTCTAATATTATTCGTCATTGTAGGTTTATGTTAAACCAGGTCGAAGATAAGGGGTGGAGCTAGAGTATTAGGTATGGTTTGAATGAACTCTATAGCTTTTGTTTAGATTTGTGTTCTATTAGGAAATACATTAAATATGTATAAATATTTAATTACGAACTTAATAACTAAAATGAGCTATGAGCAAGATCAGAACCCATAAACTTTAAATCATGACTCTGCCATCCAAAAAGTTGAATTATTTAGATATACTTTTTTAAATATGTAATTTTATTTTATTTTTGAAAAACATGAAAATTATATACCCAAATCACAAAAAAACTAGATGTTTTGACCCTTGTAATCGAATTCTTTCATATAAAATGAGAGGAGGGAGCAATATTTTCTTTTCGAGAAAAAATATGTTTGAGGAAACCATCCTAGACAATATTAGGCTTCTGGCAGTGCTCTATTTTAAGCACGGACCTTTGTCATTAATTTTATTGTTGTGCAACTTCTCGTAATTTAATTTGGTTACTGCAATAATTGTAAGTTGTATGCCTGTATCAGATTAGTGATTTTGAGTTCAAAGTTCTTGTTTGCCAATATGTTGCCGCTGTTATCCTAAAACTATGGAGCTGAAAAAGAACATTATCTTAAATAGGTGACCATATTTAAATTGGAGGAAAAAGAAATCCACATAGGCACCATGTAGAAAAAGAAAGGTAGGACATGGGGATTTAATGGATGAGGGGCAAATATGATCCTAAAGTATAAGTGTAAGGATAAATATGTCAAAAAATATGACGAAGGACAAATGTAACCCTCTTTGAAGAGTACATGGACAAATATGATCCTAAAGTATAATGATAAGGATAAATATATAAAAAAAGTATAACGAAGAACAGATATAACCATTTTTAAAAAGTACAAGGAAAAATATGGCCCTTTTCCGAATTCCAAAATATGATAAAGACGAAGATTCATACAAAATTGACACCCTAATAAGAGAGGTGATATAAATCAAACCTCATGGATTTTTATATAATTCTTTCTTGAACTCCCAAATCTTCTTGTCGCAATGCTGTCTTTTCATTTTTTTCTATTTTAAATTTCGAGGTGGTAGTTGACAGCTCGTACGAAGGGGGCATTGGATACCTCTGAAATAGAAGATTTTAAATTGATTAGATCTAAGAATTTGAATATGAATATTCCAGCTTTAGGGTGAAAAGCAAGGGAAGTGGATGCCTTGGTGAATGGGGGAAACTGTAGAGGGGCTATTCTGGGATGGTCGATGGAGTGCACCAAATGCAGCGCCAACTGCTCTGTATTAACCTGTTAGGTAGATTTTGTTGAACTACAGTATTTGTAACCCTCCATCGCACTTATTCTAACTTTTTGCCACGTGTGACGCGAAATTAAATTAATCAGATCAGTAAATTTTCAATGCATATGACCCTATTACAATAGAAGGCGTAGCAGAATCAAATTCATCTATTTGTTTTGTATTCATGTATCAGGCAGCGGTATATTGTCTGTAGGTACATCTTAAAAACCTTCCACGAATATTTATAATCAATCCAAGTTCCACAAAACCATTGTTATACTAAAATAGACACTGGAAATAAGAAAGTGAAATTTACAAGTCAAAAGCATCCAACATACTAAAATACTGACAGCATAGTGAATTGTCATATCTCATTCTTTTTCTACCCTTTTAATACTATAGTTCATCATATCAAGAGGTGCCGAACATCCTACTCGGTCAATGTTGTTTGCAGGGGCAGAGAACTTTCAACCTCTTTAGCCTTGGCATTCCTCTCTGCAACAACTTTTGACATGCCGAACATCTGAAATGTAATGGAAAAAGTTTAGCAGTCGATTTGAAATAATAAGTTCAATACTTTCTAGGGTCATCGTAAATTGCTTAATTTTGATGTAAGTATTGACAGTACCTTTTGGATGGTCTTCTTGAAGCAGGTTTTATGTTCATCCATGGAAGCATGGATGAATTCATCAATGTGATCCTTGATATCTTCCAGAAAAGTCGCTTCTTCGTTCTTCTTCTTTCTACATGAAGTCATGGCTGGATTTGGAGAAACAGGGGATGGTGTCTTCTCATTTTGGACATTTTCTGCTGCCATATCGTTAATCCAAAGCTCTTACCTAGACAGTAAGGTTTATCACATCACAGATAACTACATTACTTATATTTCTTCGCATGCACCAAATAACACAAATATACGCCAAGAAGAAAAATTAAGTCAACAACAACAGTAACTACAAACATGTCCCAATCCCAAAGTAGTTAGGTGGCTAATCCTCAGTACATTTTGCTCTATTTGGAAAGATTGTATTTAATTCAGCATTAGTAGCAAACCGTCTCAAAACTTATACTCCTTTCTACTGTGTACTAATTCTTCTTAGTACACTAATCAGTGGCTGATCCAGGATCCTTATGTCATGCGTGCTCAATTATTTTTAATCTAGATAGATATTGCTACTGGGACTGGGCGCTCAATTACTATATTTATAAGAATTACTAATTTTTCTATGTAAGTAATGGTATTTGGCTCCAAAAATAATGGGTGCTTGCTTTAGCACCCATAATTCACAACATAGATCCGCCACTGACACTAATCCTCAAAACTTATACTAATCCGCATGTATATTTAACATTTTGTTAAATTTGGATTTTGGTCCCCTCTCTCCCACAATCTTCAATGACAAAATATTGTATATCTAATTCAACATTAGTTGCAAACTGCCCAAAAACTTATTCTCTTTATGATTTTACAATTGTTTTAGTCCGATGCTCAATTCAATGATATTGTTACACTCAAAAGATATACTCCCTCCGTTTCAATTTATGTGAACCCATTTGACTGGGCACGGAGTTTAAGAAAAAGATACTAA